AATTTATGGAAAGGTACTTTATCCTGAAAAGCACCTACATTTCATTAATTGCTTCATGGTGCCCCCTCATAAGTCAGTTCGATGTTACGGTACTGTTTATCCATATGTGCAATAGTCCGGTAGTTTCAAGCACTGATAATTATATGCTTCAGATCATAGAGCAGGATTCAGCGCAATTAGCGAGAAACTGAAATAAGCATAATTAGGGGGAGCGAAACTGCTGAGGGCTCTGGAGGATTAGGATAGGGAGGAGAGAACAATTCGTTTGGGAGCGAAAGGAGCATGGGAGGAGAAGGGGGAGGTGAGATATATTTACAAAATAGACTCTTGGTATATCTACAAAAATTTATATAGAAAATACACATATAAGACATTTCGAAATCCGCCTTAAAATATTTTCTTTCAGAATGTTTCGATTGTGGAATCAGCAGTTATTGGCAGTCGGAGGCGTCTACAGTCGGCCAGCGATCCGGATTTTGCTGAAAATGGCACCATAGCAAGCTATGTGATTGAGGTGAATCATTTTATCCTAGGATATTTTACCAGAATTTTCCGGAGGAGGCCTCCAGCACAGATTTTTTTCGGTCCTACCCTGTCATTTCATGACCTTTGTCAAATGATCACTTTACCCAACCCTTGTATAGTCAGATAGCTTCATCCTAACAATGCGCGGCCCAGCTTCTTTTTGGAATAACCAAAGCATAAGTTCTGCTTGTTGCGACACCGTGCGGCCGATTTCACTCATGTATTAAGCAAATCATTCTCTGTAGGGTGACGAAAATACGTTTGCTTTGATTCGATCATCAAACAGCACCGGAGGTGACGTTCTGTTGCTGGAACTGCTCAACAAACTTGACCGTGAAACCAAGGACTTGTACATTCTCAATATTTCAGCGTACGATGGAGGTACTCCTCCACGGTTTGTTTTGTTTTTTCTTATACTGTTCAGATCTTTTCTTTCGTATAAAACTATGTAACAGTCATAGTTTTTGGAGGTGACGCCACTGTGGCAGGGGGAATTCTAGGATGTAGTAAAGTAGGAAAGTACTTTCTTTTGGTTCGTAGCAAAAAACTGATGTATGTGAAATAGGAAAGCGTGGAAAAAATCTCTTGAAGCTCTGAATCTACCAAAAAAAAACAAAGTTTCACGGCCTTGTCATCAAATTTCGGTTGTCGGAAAAAACTCGAGAGTACGTCAAAATTAGCGTAGTCTCCCTCCCCGCCCTACCCCTGTTATCACTG